ATGGGAAAGGATAAAATAACAAGATTTCTTGATTCTGAAAGTGAAGAGGAATTAAACTCATACAACAGATTTAAAAAAAGAAGGAGAATTTTTGAAGTTCATTCTTCAACAGAGGAAGAGGAAGTAATTGAGAATGAGAATTTACAAAACAGCACCTTCAAAGAAGGATTCAGAGAACACAGAAGTGGTACTTATATTCAGAAAATTCGTAAAATTAAACGGAATTCAAGGAAAAGATACGATACACAATCGGGAAAAATTATTCCTGCCAAAGTTTTTCAAAATGAAGATTGCCAATGCCGAAAAGACTGCTTGAAAAATTTAAATGAAACAGAAAGAAAACGTATTTTCGAAATGTTTTGGAACTTAGGAGACTTTAATAAGCAAAATATATTGCTATACGAAGCGACCGGACGCAGTGTTGTAAAAAGAGGAGGTCAGAGAAACGGAAAAGGTTCATGTAGAAATGAGAGTTTTACGTATTGGTTAAATTATAAAACAGGCAAAGTTGCTGTTTGTAAAAATTTTTTTTTTAGATACTTTTCAAATAAGCGAAGGACGATTGATACGTGTATTAAAATCTAAAAACGTTGGCAACGATTTACGTGGGCGTTTGCCTGGATCGTCGAGAAAAATATGTGATGAAGCAAATATGATTGTTCAAAACCATATTAACAGTTTCCCGAAATTTGAATCCCATTATACTAGGGACCATAATCCCGACAGAAAATATCTTCATCCTGAACTGACTATAAAAAAATGTTTAATTTTTATGAGCTTCACTTTGAAGAAAATAATTTAAAAGGAGTTAATGAATAGAAAAATATTCAAAAAGGATTTTAATCTACATTTCCACCAACCACGCAAAGACACATGTCAAAGATGTGATCTATTAAACATTAAAGTCAAAGCATCAGAAAACCATGAAGAACAGAAAAAACTTATCGAAGAACATGATATTCATTTGAAACTAGCAGAATCGGCTAGAAATGCGTTAAAACAAGATCAAGAATCAAGTAATCCATCTCATTATTTTGGCTTTTCATTCGATTTGCAGAAAGCGTTACCATTTCCAAAGTTATCTACTTCAGTAGCTTATTATAAATGTAACATGTATATTTTAAATTTAGGCATACACAATTTCCACAACGATAATGTATACATGTACGTTTGGGATGAAACAAAAGCTTCTAGAGGTTCCCAAGAAGTGGCTTCATGCCTCTTGAGACACCTAAAAACCCTGAAAGGTGAAAAACACATCATTGCATATAGTGACATGTGTGGAGGACAAAACAGAAACATCAAAATATCTTTAATGTGGTTAAAAATTCTATCGATGGGAAATGATGTGGAAATCATAGACCACAAATTTTTAATATCAGGGCATTCATTTTTACCTAATGACAGATATTTTGGCGTTATAGAAATGTCATTAAAAAGAAATCAGTTATTGTATGTGCCACAAGATTATTATAATATAATTAAAAAATGTAGAAAAGGTAATACTTTCATACTAAATGAAGTCAACAAGACTCTTGGAAGAAGCAGTTTACAAAAGATCCAAAAATACCAACGGAGAAAACATAAACTGGCTTCAAATATGCAGGATGCGATTATTAAGAAATGAACCATATAAAATTTTATACAAAACAACCATGGATGAGAACGCAGAATTTAAAATTCTTGATTTATTGCCACGTCGGGGTAGACCTAAAAAATTTGGGAATATTGTATTGCCATCGTTATATAAAAGTATAAGAAGCATCACATAACTAAAATACCGACACATGATGGACTTATTGCGGTATATACCTCCGGAACACCATAACTACTTCAAATCACTCCCGCATATTGAGAATGTTAACGAATAACTTATATTTATTTTGAAAGTGACCTAAGTCCTTTTAAGGTAAGCAAGGTCATATTATACACTTAATAATAGCGACTTTTTAATAGGATGTATAAAATTAAATCCCTTAAATGAGATTTAACATTGCAAGTCAACCATATATCTTACGTATATTTTTAATTTTGTAAAAACGCAAAACCTTAAGGTATTTCAAATTAAAGATAAATGGACTTAAGTCACTTTCAAAATGAACGGCTTAAATGTTTTATTATTTCATATAGATTACGTTCATTTCATGTTTAAAAATATTTGTTTAATTATTACTAAATAAAAGATTATTTTGTGGGCATATAATAAACGTTTAGTGACTCACTTGAAAATACGTTAAGAAAACGGGAAAATAAAACCGTTGCAATAATTATAATACAATTTTTTATTCAAAATAAATCGAATTTTCTTTTTTTTTTCATGTTAGAAACTATGTAAAATTCAACAGTTGATTTTTAATATTATCTTATAGCAACAACAAATTACAAACATACGTTAAATTTAAATGCAATTTTCGGCGACATTTGAACTATTTCCCATATTAACCACTTTTCAACTTTGTTTTTATGTACGTGGGTAACCCTAGTTGTAATTATTTCTACCATGTAGATTTCAGTTACTAACAAGTCGTCGTTGATTATGCAATATCTATGTAAAAAATATTATGTAAATCCTGATACACACATCAGCTATTATTGTCTATAGTTTGAATGTTGGCACATAACAGTGTTTTATTATTTGATTTATAAAATCAACGGATTTTTTTAGTACATATCAGATATTACCAACCGATGCCTAAACGTTGATATAGCTCCAATACAACCAAACCTATAATTCGGTCGGGCCAGAATTTAAGATTTCCAATACCTAAATATAAATGAAACGATAAAAACTGTGCACATCAATCAAATTTATTTTTAACTTCAGTAAAGAAAATTAGAGACATCAAAGTCACAAAAATAGAACACGATCAGTTCTTGTTACAGAAAATATACATTAGTATATACATTAGTAGAGTCGTATAAAATAAGTTCTATACAGAGGATCATCCAGCAGCTTACAAATAAAATATTACAATAAATGCTTGATAACTGTACATAGAAAAGTTATTTCAAATGATGACAGTTAAATTTAACCAGGTTAAAGCCAAAAGACCAACGTATAACTTACCTAAGCCCATCAAGGTAAGAAAAGTAAATAAATGCAAAGTTATGTTTGCTTTTTATTCTGGTTAAACACATAACCGATTAGATCATTTAATTGACGCAAGGTCTATTAGCTCAGTTGGTATAGCATCAAACTTTATCAAGTTTGCCATTCGAGACCTGGCGAACGACCGCGTTCAAATCCTGGCGGGGTCAGATTTTTTTCTGTTTCTATTTTTTTTGTTTTTTTTTTTGTTTAGAAAATATGAATATTGAATAAATACGATTATTGTTGATTATTTTTTTAAATACATTTTAATTATTATAATAACCTGATTTTACATTTTTTGATGAAAATATTTTGTGAGGTCGTAGGAAAAATATTGTACATCACTTGTGTGAAAAGTGATTTTCCACACTGGTAATGTAATATACTATAACGTGAACTTATTTTTCTTAGAATTGCAAGACAGAAAACTATGAAATATGTTTAGAAGAAAGAAAAGAAATACAATGAAATAATAATGATAGAAAAATGTGAATAGATTTGAATTAAACAAGAAATTTCTTACATTACTCTACACTCAAAGAACAAAGGTATATATATGAAACATTAAAAGTGTCTTAAATAATTATTATTTGTTATGTCAGAGAAATGAAAATAAACGAAAATGTTTAATAAAGTGACATAATGAAAAAAATTGCAAAATTTGATTGTAACAAAGTGCTCATAGCAGATATTGCACAATCAACGACGAAGTGTTACTTTTTACACTTGGTTAACTGTAGATTTTTCTCCCAGAGAAATATAAATCTTTTTCTTTATTTTTTACCAATATGAACTTTTAGGTGCTATTTTAAATGTGCTTTCCGAGGAAACAGTTTCGAACATATTTCACACTTAAACGGTTTTTCCCGTGTAAATTTTTTAAATTTCCAATTGTAAACTGTTTCCAACTTATTGCACACTTAAATAGTTTTTCTCCTGCGTGAAATTTCAAATGCGTTTTTAAATAAACTATTTCGAATATATTTCGCACTTGAACGGTTTTTCTTTAGTGCGAATTATTTAGGTGAGCTTTCAAATGTCCATTTGTTCTATACTGTTTCGAACATCTATCACACTTAAACGGTTTTTCTCCAGTGTGAACTTTTAAATGGAAACTTAAAGCACTTTTCTGTGTATATCGCTTCGAACATATTTCACACTTGAACGGTTTTTCTCCAGTATGAATTTTTAAGTGTAATTTTAAAGAGCCTTTCACTGTAAATCGTTTTGAACATATTTCACATTTGAACGGTTTTTCTTCATTATGACTCATTAAGTGATAATTTAAATGAGATTTCTGTATAAACGGTTTCAAACATATTTCGCACTTGAACCGTTTGTCTTCATTGTGAATTTTTAAGTGCCATTTTAAATTAGCTTTCCGTGTAAACTGTTTCGAACATATTTCACACTTAAACGGTTTTTCTTCATTGTGAGATATTAGGTGATAATTTAAGTGAGATTTATGTATAAAAGGTTTCGAACATATTTCACACTTAAACGATTTTTCTCCAGTATGCATTTTTAAGTGTAATTTTAAAGATCCTTTTAATGTAAATCCTTTTGAACATATTTTACACATGAACGGATTTTCTCCAGTGTGAATTTTTAAGTGCCATTTTAAAGTATCTTTCCGTGTAAACTGTTTTGAACATATTTCACACTTGAACGGTTTGTCTTCATTGTGAGTAATTAAGTGATAATGCAAAGTAGATTTATGTGTAAACGGTTTTGAACATATTTCACACTTAAACCGCTTTTCTCCAGTATGAATTTGTAAGTGTAATTTTAAAGATCCTTTCAACGTAAATCGTTTTAAACATATTTCACACTTAAACGGTTTTTCTTCATTGTGAGTTTTTAAGTGATAATTTAAATGAGATTTCTGTGTAAACGGTTTCGAACATATTTCACAAGTAAACGGTATCTCTTTATTGTGAAATTTAAAGTGCGTTTTCAAATTTCCAAGTTTTGTAAACCATTTCGAACATATTTTACACTTGAATAATTTTTCTCTAGTGTGCGTGTTTAAATGCATTTTCAAATCGCTTTTGTGGAAAAACAGTTTCGAACATATTTCACACTTAAACGGTTTTACTTCAGTGTGTATTTTTAGGTGCTTTCTTAAATTTCCAGTTGTTGTAAACTGTTTCGAACATACTTCACACTTAAATGGTTTTTCGCCGACGTGTAATTTCGCGTGCCTCTTTAAAACACTTTTCTGGATAAACTGTTTTGAACATATGTCACACTTGAACGGTTTTTCTTCATTGTGAGTCATTAAGTGATAATTTAAATGAGATTTCTGTGTAAACGGTTTCGAACATATATCACATTTAAACGGTTTTTCTTCGGTGTGAATTTTTAAGTGTAATTTTATAGATCCTTTCGCTGTAAATCGTTTTGAACATATTTCACATTTAAACGGTTTTTCTCTGGTGTGAATTTTTAGGTGCGCTTCCAAATTTCCAATTGTTCTAAACTGTTTAGAACA